AAAACCATAGAATGTCAAAGAGAATAGTCGCAATAGGGTACTGTAAACTTCTCTGAATAAAAAGTTTTGCTAAAATAATGCCGGGAATATTTGCGAGAAACGAAGAAAGTAAAACCTCAACCATTTTTCTCATTATTAAATACATCACTGAACACTCACGGTAGCGTGTTCAAATGACGCGATGCAAAGAAAGAAAGAAAAATATTCTATTTCGCCTCGTCTATATATAAAATTCTTTGATATCTGTTAGTCCGTCCGTCCATCACATCCTCTAAAATAGCCATATATTGAACGATCGAAACCATATTTTGGGAAGAAGTGCAAACAAGTAAGGGGTTACAAAATGCAGATGGTTCTACGTAAAAACCGCGAAGTAGGGTTTTTGTCAAAGTATTTTTGCAAACAAATCAGCTTATTCAAATTTTCTAGATTGGTTTGCAAAATCGAACGAAATGTAGTGTTTATAAATCTCAACAAAATATGTTAGCGATAAATAGATTTAACAATACTAAATACTCGGATGATATCAACACACGTTATCGCATGGCAAAAAAATATTCTAGTAAACATAGAGATAATATTTAATCTGTACAAATGATTTTCGTAATAGCTCAAAAGAACCCATCACAGTTCCGAAATCAATGATTTATGAGCAAGGTTTTTGATTTTGAGTTTCTTTTGGAACACTATGCACGGATTGTGCCATTTATTATCAAAGAAATTGACTGGACGATTCACAACAGCGTCCATAGATTATTTTTTTTTTAATTCCCATCTTTCAACACTTTGCTCTCTTTCAAGATTCAACATGTCTGCCTTGTTTCGAATTTAGGAAGCGTGAAACAAGAGAACAGCGCCAAATAGCAAAGACATTGCAATGACATTGGTAGATTTGTCATTCTTTATTGCGATAATAACAAATGTCATTTTTTTAAAACAAATAAAAAAGCTATTATATGACATACAAAAGGCCTGCGATGATAAGTTGTTTGATACATACCCGTGTTCCGTAAATGTCGCCTTGGGCCTGATTTGAATGAATCCAATAAACCAAGGATAAACAGGCTGACGTAGTCATATTTGTTTCGTCTCAAACAAACCGAAAAAATGTTTGCCAAGGTTGACTATGGTTGTAACAGCATTTTACTGTTACTCTTTAAGAAGAAAAGGTTTTATTTACTCATCGCAGCTGATTTACTCAGTGAGAATCAAACTCACTATTACTGACCTTCAAGTCCAGCTTTCTGACCAATACGGTATGATGATGTAGTTAGTGCAGGGGAAATACTTATGGGAGAATGCTTTACCAGATGGTTCATTCGTCCACAACCTTGATTGACTAAGAATGACTATGATGGTAAGGAGGTACGGTGGAGTAATGGATAACGGCTTCGACTGAGGAATCGGAGAGCCGAGTTCGAATTACATTCGAGTTCATTGCATTTACTTAAATGTTAATAGCATTGGGAAAGGTAACCGATATCTTCCACTCAAACTACTATAGCCTTAATTGGAAACCATTCTAGAAGAAGGAAAACTCTGAATTCAAATCATCTGCTACCTTGTAGGTCCGGCCTTTTTCGGCAAAGACTAGAAGAAGGTAAATTCAAAAACGACTCCACCTCTCATATCTCAAAGAAAGGAAGTACCCACACCTCCTACTTCGAATCAGACCCCTCGGGTTTTCTTCGAACAAACACAGGACTCGGACTTGGCACGGCGACGTGAACCCTCCCTGATTTCGAACCCTTCACCCGTAGGTGTCTCATCCACGGCACTTGATCATGATGGTTAATACATATAATTAGGAGAAAATGACCTGCCATAGTTTTTACCGCATCATTTGATTAACTATTTCAACAGTAAGACTCTACCTTAAATGACTATTGAGTAAACATTAGTATTCAAAAAATTACCCCTTGTCATGGTTACCGCAGTGGTTAACCGTTTTTAACCTTAGTATTTAAAAATTACCCCTTGCCATGGTTGTCTCTGTAGTTAGCAGCTTTTAACCTTAGTATAAAAAAAATTCCCCATGCCAAGGGTACCTCTGTAGTTAGTTGTTTTTAACCGTAGTATTCAAAAATACCTCTTGCCATGATTGCATCTGTGGTTAGCAGCTTTTTGTTGTTATCAACATATCCAGTGATGAGACAGCAAGGAAAAGTGGATTCATGCCTTTCCCAGGGATATCTATGTGAAGTGAATATAAGCATTATTATTTTCCATGCTAATAAACACTCGATAAAACAGAATTATATATGTATGATAAATATATCGATCTAATCAGCCCATTCAAAGCAATACTGTAAAATATGGTATACCTGTTGATACCTATATGCTTAGAAACAAAGATAAAATCTTGATATAGAGATAGATTGCAGCATTTTTTTTTTGTTTAGTTTATATGTCGCTGCTACCATGGTGGACGAATAAGTCTTTACCAATTGAGCCTCTAATGTGAACGACCAAAACAATCGGCCACGCACACCTGATTATTATTCATTAATATTATTTGTGCAGGAAAAAGGAATCGATCAGATTGTATGACAAATCAATGAATCGGATCAATTCGGCGAAAAGAATAGCAAAGAATCCAATTAAAAATACTGGATTCGACATCCATTAAGGGTAAGTATGAAAAAAAATATCGATAATCGTTTGAATAATTGAAAACATTCGTTCAAAAACATTTTGAATACACTGACCAACATTTACCCGAACGAAAGGTCTACAGAATGCGTACAGAACAAAATGGCAAACATTACCTTACTGGTCAGAACTCTGACGACCCAAACTCAGTGGAAAATGTTTTTAAACCGGCGGGTGTGGAATTCCGAGGGTGAAGGATTGTCTTTATTTAAGCTTTAATATAAGACGAAAAAAACGCGCGAAGGCAGATAGTACGATGGCAGTAATCGATGAGTGAAGACACCTCTCCCCCCTCACAGCATCCTTTGGTATGGCAAACTTCAGTAGCAATTCGCTGGCAATCATGTTGACATCACTCGTCTTTATCACCCTCTATATCTCACTTCCTTCAAGAAACGATGTTACTACTACTGTGTCTCCCTGCTAGAATAAAGCAATATAAAAAGCCTAAAAATTGTCTGTCGTTTATTAAGTTTGTGATGCCGCGTTGGGACCTGAAGAATTGCTGATAAACCACAGAAAGCCAAAGACTACATGAAATTCAAAAGATAGTAGGAAAAATGAAGTATAAAAAATGAACAAGATATTCCTTGTCCATGCTGCTAATCAAATGAATTAATGAAAGACTGTTACCTACATACACTGATATATATATACATGCATATATATAGGGCTTTGTGTAGGCGCGTTTGTATGTGTGTGTGTATCAATGTTAGCCTATATTTTAGTGTTAGCAATTATGTGTATTCTAATAGGTGTGCGTGCTCGCATGCATGAGCATGTGTGCGTGCACGAATTCTCGCGGTGTATGTTTATATTGAATATCGTCTGACGGTGCCAAATCTCCCCCTCCCCACTCTCGATCAATGAAGACATGGAGTTTTGTTTACAATAATGACAAACAATGTGGTAATAATAGTAGGCTAGCGATATAGTGAGACGGAAATTTGATATTGGGGATCAATTGCTGTGTCCCAAGAGAAGGTCAACCGAGAGAGACATACCCTCCCACCCCCCATTGATGTGGGAAATTAAAAGACCAGTGCCTCTTTCTCCGTTCTTGACAAATAACCCAAATGATTACATTCGAACACACACTGAATTAGCGAGAGAAGCATTCAAAAACTAAAGCGATATCCTGAGAAACGGGGAAAAAAAGGTTTTTAGAAATAGGATGACGAGAAAAGTGGAGGAAACAAAAATGTGGTTCTACAGAAGGATACTGAGAATTCTTTGGATGAAACGAGTAAGCAACTGGGAATTCTTAAATTAAATTCGTCTATGCATGGGATACTGTTGCCATATATGGTCTGGTGCCCCCCAAACCCAAAAGACGGATATACAATGTGAAGGGTCCTGACGGGGTTTTCGACTCCAGTCCTTTCTCACCGACGTAATATGGCTTCCCTCTGTCTTTTCTATAAATATTTTCATAACATCTGCTCTGACGAACTATTTTCACTGGGTCCCCAGGTGCACGAATTTAAGCGTGCTACTAAGTTGGCATCTCGATCCAACCATTTTACTGTCGAAACGGATAAACGTAACCGCCTCTTCTACTCCAACAGCTTCTTCTCTCGCCCTTCCCGACAGTGGAACTCCCTTCCTCTTACTTGCTTCCCTGATAACTATAATCTTCAAAAATTTAAATGTAATACCAATCGATATCTTCTGAAGCTTTCATCCCGTTCTTCTCTTTTTCGTTTCCTCGACACCCCCCCCCATACCCAGTCCCTTACTTACACTTTCTGTAGCCCCTTGCCTACTAGAGGCACACCCACCTTGCCTGGGGGGAAATGCTTAAAAAACTGGCAACAAAAGAATCCGAAGGAGAATCTAAAAGAGGCAGCTGAAATTCCTTTGGACGGATAATAAGAAAAGAAGGCTCGGAAAACTTAACCCTCACAGGGCATATTGAGATAAGAGAAAGCAGCAACCTGATGAGCTTATGTGAATGAATGACGGAACTGATAGTGGGAGCCTTAGCATACGGAAGAACACCTGCTAAGGGGTAAAAGGGATAGGAAGTTTGGAGAGCCATGTTCACCTTTATCCTGAAGAGACACGGCACATAGAAGAAGAAGAAGAAGAAGAAGAAGAAGAAGAAGAAGAAGAAGAAGAAGAAGAAGAAGAAGAAGACCCGTGGCCATTTGAACAGTGTCCATGAGACGACTCTCTTGCTGGGACAAATAATGATCTACTGGCCGCTCTTTTTTTTTTCTTTTTTTTTTTCTTTTTTCTTTTTTTTTTCTTGCAATAAAGAATATGATAATAAAAAGAACATAATTTAATTTCCATTTGCGGGCTGGGAAGAATAGAAGTGATGAAAACGTTGTCCATTGTAAAACTTAATGACAAATATGAAGATGTGCACGTTCAGACTTGTGTATCTGCGTATGAAGATATATGAAGAGAGTGAAACAGACGAAATAGAGAGAGGCGGAGACTGAGAGACGGAGAGAATATGAGAAGCATATAAACAACATTGAGTAAAAACTGAACTGATGAAGTAGATATAGATAGATAGATAGATAAGGACAATCTGTGATAGATAGATAGATAGATAGATAGATAGATAGATAGATAATAAGAACAATCTGTGATAGATAGATAGATAGATAGATAGATAGATAGATAGATAGATAGATAGATAGATATGGACAGTCTATGATAGATAGATAGATAGATAGATAGATAGATAGATATGGACAATCTGTGATAGATAGATAGATAGATAGATAGATAGATAGATAGATAGATATGGACAGTCTATGATAGATAGATAGATAGATTTGAATAGACTGAAATAAATAGATAGATAGAGAGAGAGAGATAAATAGATAGATAGATAATGAACAGACTTAGTTAATTAAAATGTATGCGTGAAACACGCAGCTGCCATCCACTGTCAATACCAATGCCTACTATGGTCACACACACACAGGGTCACACACACAGACACACACATACATACATATATATATATATATATATATATATATAGAGAGAGAGAGAGAGAGAGAGAAAGAGAAAGAGAGATAGAGAAAGAGAGAGGGGGAGAGAGGGAGAGATATTGAATGAGGAGAACAAAGAGAGAGATGTTTGAGAAACAGCGACATGCAGAAACTGAAATAGATAACCATGTAGGTAGATATAGAGAGACAAAGAAAGAAAGAAAGAAAGAAAGAAAGAAAGAAAGAAAGGAACCAAAATAGATCCGAACAGAGAAAACCTGGGTTATATCTGTGGGTAAAAGTGCTCAGTATCAGGGATAGAGCCTATGTAAATATAAATATAAAAGTCAAAATTTTGTTAGTTTTTATAATTTTTTAAATGAGCGTCTTTTAAATTTTAAATTAAAAAATAACATTTCTATTTGTGTTTATAAATACTTGTTGCAAAATAAAATTCTATGAATAATTATATTGAACCTACCACTACATACCTATCAAGAAGACTCACTTTACATCTCTCTGACATTAACTCAATTAGGATTCATTTAAACACAAATAGAAACTTACCAAACTCCATCCGTAACATACTTGTAAAAAATTCAAATATAATAGCTTCATCTACATATAAAAAAGGCTAAAAATAAAAAACTCAATAATATCAACTATGAACACGGCTACAATGTGCTGACCATGTTTAGAAAATAATACATTCCTATAACTCTAACTTGCATAAAACAAACACTATTCGTAACATACTTGTTAATAATATAAATATAATAGACTCATCCACATGCAAAAAAAAGCTAAAAATAATGAAAGTATTAGTAATAAAAAAAGAAAAAGCAAACACTCAATAAAATCAACTATAACTAAGGCCTAAGGTTGACCGTGGTTGGAAAAAAATCCCATCACTCTAAAAGCATATATAAAAATCTACATATTCTGTTAAAAATAAAAATAAAAACCGTCCTAGATAATGACTAATAGAATAGCCGAACGCGTTCGGATATATGGAAGATTCGGACAATTTTTACATATTTTATGTCCAGAAGAGAAAACACTTATACGACCTCATGAAAAATTGAATAAAAAGCTTAATTGCAGGACCTTGCCTGTTGTCTTTAATGAAACTTGTATTAAAGAAGGATTGCTGTCCAAATACACAATTATGAATAAATATTGTATCTTATATATGTAGATTATACAAATAAAATTGATTGTCCATCTCTTTCAAAATGCTTTGCCATTTTTGTCAGCAATCTGTGCAGAATTGTCGGCTCATATGAAAAAGCTCCCCATGTTTCCGATATCACGTGTCTGTCTTTGCTCTATTCAGTTTGCCATAAGAATCACGCGTCCATTTAAAATGCTGACAATTTCCTGTTAGAAGTGTCAAAGTCTAAAACTGGAACAGTAGCTTGAGAAATTCTTTCAAAATTCCAGTGGATCGGTGTGTGAATTCAGGTAAGAACAAGATATTTGGTTGCAACCCCACTCTTGTCGTTACATTATGTCGTATTAGAAAATTGAAGCCTTTGCAAAGAGAAATCATGAATTATTTGTAGGCCTTGTAAGATTATGTTCAATGAATGAGAAAAATTTATTAATTCTTAGCCTCACCATCTTCGATCCATTTATAGTTTGGTTAGTGAGTCGTTAACGAACAAATAGTTTTGTCAGATTTTGACAACTTAGATAATCATTAATAATGAAATAAAAGTCAAACGAAAGAATTTAATAACTTAACTCCAGAACGACGTCATAGTTTTGCGGTTTTCTTTTTACAATTCAGTCCTAACTTGCAAATGGAGTAAATCAGATTTTTTACAAAACGTGTGGTTAATGCTCTGATGGATAACAAACCTTATGGGTTATTTTATAAAACCAAGCTTGCAAATGTTCTGTTCGTAGATTTTTCTTTTTTTTAGCAATTCATTTGTCCGATTGAGAAGAGTATTTAATTATTTGGTCGTATTTTAAGCGGATTGAATTAAAATTGCTGCAGTTTGTCAGTATGTGTTTTATGGTAAATGGCTTTTGGCATAGCACACATACAGGAGGTGCTTCGTTTTTTTTTGTTTTTTTTTGGATATATAAATGAACAAAGCAAAATCAAACAATACACTGACGAAGAGGGTCTGCCTTTTCATCGCGCGCTATCGCTATGATCGAACTCTATCACACTATCGATTATGTAATATATTGACACGTAGTCATATTTCAAACTCCAAACATCTTAAAAAGATATTTTAGAAACATATGAAATCAACTAGACTGACTGTTAATACATGTTGGGTAAAACAATTCAAGATTCATGAGACCCCCCCCTTCACCGTTAAACCATTTTTATACGAATACTGCACACATTGATTCATATAGATGAATTAATGTGTGCAGTATCCGTACGCATGTTGAAGTTACCTATTAAAGAAGACAAATATTCAAATACAAACTAATTTTTTTTAAATTATATATATATATATATATATATATATATATATATATATATATATCGATCTTGTGTATAAGTCGATTTTTCATTTTTGACCAAGAAAGAATTATAATATAAACTATGTCTTTTTTATACTAAAGATTTTCCAATATAAGGCTCAAGAGCCACTCATGATAGACGGTTATTGAATGAGGAGTCTCATGTGGAAGAGTGTAGGGTGCAGAAAAAAATCCATGTAGAGATTTTCTTTTTTTCTGTTTCGAACCATTTCTCTGATTCGTGGGGTGAATTTAGGTATAAGTTGTTTCATGTCTTCGTGCCGTTTTTGATTTCCATCATTAAATAATTATTGCGGGTTGATAAGGTGGTGTGTATAAGTTTTCATAGTGTTTCTTTAGTGGCTTTCGACTATCGTCTCTTCTCGCGTCGTGGTTGTCCTGTCTCGGCGCCGACACACCTTTGTTTTCTTTTTATTAAAGCCCCTGAGTAAGACTGAAAATAGATTATTCAAAAACACCATGTTACAACGATAAAGACTATCGTTCGAAAAGTATAACAAGTAGACATGTCTGGTTTAAGAGTTCTTCCAGCAATAAGTACTTGCATGATATAGGCATTGAATTACTTCTTGACAGTCTGCTGCCTCAGTCTTCATTTAGAAGTACCTTTTGCTACATAAAAGTTTTCTTTCTAAAAGTAGATACATTAAGTGTCGAAGAAACTTTCATTGACATAAAACATCCAATTACATATTCCAGATATCTACCAACCAGAAATTAATTTATTCAAAAACTTTACAGCTTAAATCAAAAGTAAATTAGAACAGTGGCAATTATTTTATAGTAAAATAAAGCATTATAAGATTCTAACACAAAATAATAGATTATAATCATTTGCATTTTCAAGCGGTCAAAATATTTACACCAGGGAACGAATAAAAAAGGAATCATTCTCTGGAGAATTAGAGAGAAAAAACAAACAAACAGAAACACCTGTAGACGGAAAATCATAATAGAGTTATACAAAGGACACCTGAATAGAAAAAATATTTTATATTTGCGGCTCAAGATACATTTATCAGAACTTGTTATATTAAAACAAAAAGAAACGAAATTAAGAGGAAAACATCAACTGCAATTTTTGTGGATTAAAAAATGAAGCTGTAAACCACGTCATAAGTAAATACAGCAAGCGGACCGAAAAGAAATATAAAAAAGAGACACAACAGGGCAGGAATGGTAAGACACTAGGAATTGTGCAAGTGACTTTGTCTCGACTATATATATTGTAACAGTAGAAATCAGAATTATGCTAAAAGAAAATCAGAATCGCAAATGGAATTGCGCTTCAATTTTGTTTCCCTCAAACCTTGATGCACCCAAACATCGTAGCGATTTAAGCATGCAAGTGTTTTTCAAATGCCTTACAAAATTCTATCAGCTATTTAGAGTACTTCTGCGATGTCCCGTGTCGGGAATGACCTAGGTTATTTTGAATCAGCGTTTCGTTTTGGTTATCCTCAACAACTGCAGGCCTACCGGAACGTTTTCGGTCTTTCAGATCAAAATTTCCATTTCTGAATCTAGCGAACAATCTTTGAACAGTACTCTCAGCTACTGTACCATCTTCATAAAATGGCACACATCATTTTTACTGTGTTTATAATATTTTCCTTTCGTGAACTAAAACGACAATCAGATGATGAAAATGCACCTCATTTTCGTTAATTTTCCGTTTTAATATAAAAACATTTACAATTCGCAGTCCACATACGAATCGTATTGAAAGACGCTTTGAAAAGTCACGTGTGAAACGAAATCACGTATTCAAAAAATACTGCGAACATTTTTGCGATACAATATATATATACTCGACTCTCCCGTCGAATTCGACGTATGAGGGTCAAGCAGATCAGTTCCTAGGAAACCGACAGCCCGACAGCAGCACATGAGATTTGATTATAGTGATGAAGGTTTCCTGTTCCTCATCTATACAAAGGTTTAAGTGAGGCTGACTTGAACATCGGGGTCAATTGCGTGCAAATATTAAAGAAAGTTGGTAGTAGGCGGCTCCACTCAATGAAGTAGAGCAAGCATTTGCTGTCCATTGCGAAGAAACATGTGGAAATTGATGTTCAATCACTCGAGCAAAATGTCTCAACGGTCTAAAAGTTTTCAAAGCACCTGCTGGCTTCGGGAGACACAGTGTGTCCATAGATGTTGAGCGTCTATTCATTTTATTGAGCCTCCATTTATCGTCCGCGACGAGAGAGTCCACCACATATATATATATATATATATATATATATATATATATATATATATATATATATATAATGTTTGCACGTTATTTTATAGATACACATATTTAAATAAATGTTCAGTTATAATAAACAGTATTAACAACATTTACCGGCCTGAATGTCCGAGAAATTTCATAGAAAATATGTCCTCTGAAAGGAATCATCGAACCTATATCCTACACGGAACCGTTATATAACCTGACGTTCTATACCATTTAGCTACAAAGAAAACGCCTGGTTAGCAAGGTCCATTTAACCGCTTTTAAGCTTTAACCGCTTTCCCACGATTTTTCTCGAACGCTCATATCTTAACGTATACAAAAATGTCGGACTTAGTCCATTTCATAATATATATATATATATATATATATATATATATATATATACACAGTAAAGGTAACAGATCCTTTTGGTGGATCCTAGTAATATAAAAAAATATTAAAACTGATCCACAAAAAGAGCTTAATATATTTATTACAGAGCAAAAAATTAATAAACAATAAAATCCCAAATCACCACATATGAGTAACGGCCTATTTCGGCAGACGAAAATATAGTTCGTCTGTCTTATCAACTCCGTTGTGGACTGAGTTCGTGTCAGAAATAGAAATTTAACTGTGAAACCTAAAAAAAAAAAACCCCACCGAGAAAGCTAATAGAGAATTTATCTAATTCAATGTTTCCGTCAGAAGAAACGAACGACTGATATGAGTGAGGTGATTTTGGTGATTTTGATTTATTGTTTATATATATATATATATATATATATATATATATATATATGAAAAAATATACTTTTAAGGTGTGTTATGGGATAAAGTGCTCGATATCAGAGCGTAAAATAAAATAAAAGTGAACATTGAAAACAGGCTGTTTCATGCTGGAAAATCGTCAGGCGGCCTGACGATTGCGTCTGCACCATAGATAGATAGATAGATAGATAGATAGATAGATAGATGTTATATTGAATGCAACTGATAAGTAGTTTTATTGTATTAATCCGGTTTTCAAATAAGATGTCCGTGTCAATCAAAATGATAGACAAACTGCTTCGTGCTTTTGTTCTGCTTAAAAGGTCGATGATTACCTCAACAGGGACAACTTCCTGAGCAACAAACAATTCGGATTTCACTCAGCTTAATCCACTGTTGATATCCTAACTGTGACTAAACCAGTGAGGCATTAGACAATAAATAGATATATTGAAGGTCTTTGACAGATTGTGGCATAGGGGATTGTTAGAGAAGTTCCCCAGCTATGGAATCACTGGAAGTGTTTTCTCAATTATCAAGTCCTTCTTAACAGGTAGGTCAATGAAGTTTGCTGTTAATTTCCCCCAAGGGTCATGAGATCAACGCAGGCCTCCCTAAAGGCTTGCTGCTCGGTTCAACCCTCTTTCTGCTTTATATTCATGATCTGCCTAAGAGCATACTCTGATCTTTTGTGAATATCTATACAGGTGATACAACAGTATATGAGTGCACCTCAAACGTCTAGACAGCTAATTTATCCACTGACCGAACTCAGAACGCGTATTAGAACTTAAATTCATCCCAGACCTCATGTGGAATTCGTGCATACGACACATTGCTGAAAATTCTGAAGAAATAGTTGGTTTCCGGTACCGTTCTAGTAAATATCAGACACCTCCTGCTATGCTCTAGCATTATCAGACCAAAAATAGAGATCTACTGCTCTATCTGGGCTAGAGCTTCCCAGTTTCCAGCTTTGATAGATTTCAAAAGCTTCTACCCGGCCTTGTGGATGATGTGGATTTTCTACCCTACAAATTAGACGAAATGTTGCAGAACTCTCGCTATTCTATCGCTATTTTCAAGGAAAATTTTCTGAATAGCTACATACCAAATCTCACCCTCAAAGTTAAAAAAATAGATGACTGAGATGATCATCCTGACTCCTAAACTTTTGGCTATAATTTTAATCTCTTCAAGTCTAGAGCTAACATTTCTTACCTCTTACACTTACTACTTATACAACAACCTCGTCCTTCACTAAAACTCTACCTTGAATGGCTTTTGGGTCTTGTATTGGATGAAAAAAAAGCACGGTCGATCAGACAGACAGACGCAGTTATTGGTTAGATTTAACAAAATTGTTTAAATGAATTCTTTCTACCAGTATATAACTTAAAAAATAGATGATAGATAATAAATTTGGACCAATAGATATATAAAAACTGATGTAGATAGATAGATAGATAGATAGATAGATAGATAGATAGATAGATAGATAGATAGATAGATAAAACTGAGATAGATAAAACTGAGATAGATAAAACTGAGATAGATAGATAAAACTGAGATAGATAAAACTGAGATAGATAGATAGATAGATAGATAGATAGATAGATAGATAGATAAAATTGAGATAGATAGATAGATAGATAGATAAAAACTGAGATAGATAATGTGAATGATTTATTGTTATTATGTTTCATAGTAAAAGACGGATTCCAAAAGTGAGCGAAATATTAAGAAACAAAATTTTCGCTAGAATCAAAGAAAAAAAAAGCTGAACTGCTATGTATAATCAATTCTCCTATACAATGTCTGCTAGATAATTTCCTCAGGGATGAAGAAAAAGGTAGTCCTCCACAACTTTTATCTGAGAATGCTACAGACGGAGCATGTGAGCAATGAGAAAGTTTTAAGGAAAATGGAAACAAAAAGGGCCGCTTAATACTTAGAGTCCGATTGATAGACTTTACATTTATAGGAGACATAATAAAGAAAGAGAATTTGGAGAATTTGACACTCACAGGACGTAGAGAAACAATGAGTAACCGAGCTAATGAGCTTGTACAAGTGGATGGCAGAACAGTGAGTGGGGATAGTAAAATAATTACTAATAATTACAAATGATTAGAAGTTGAGGGTAACCATGATCGCCCACGTCCTGGAGTCTATGAACTAAAAGTCTGTCATCCTATAAGGAAAATTGTTTGATTCGCAAAAGATATTGTAAAATCTATAGAAATATATCAAAGTTTTTCTCTCCACCTGAGATCTTGACGTCGTTTCGTTAACGACCCATGACGAAAGGAATCAACCATCCGTAATAATATTTGTGATTACTGATCTTATGACATCCAAAACAAATCAAAGTTAATGCTGGTCGAACGCTTTTTATGACTTGTAATTATGCGTATAGCATTGCCACAAAATGTCCTTGATTATTCCTACCACCCACCCGTAAATAACAATCTGCAAGTACTGCGATAAGTGGGCAGACCTCCAGCAAAGATCCTTTGATAACAGCCATAAGATATCGATTGGTAAACGTATCCACTAATTTAAGGCCCCCTTCTGAAATTGCCAGATCCTTATTTACAAAAACTCTCATATGAATATCGGGCGTGGCGTCCAACCTGTTCTAAAGTCACTAAAATATTCCCTATATAGAACTATTTTCTCAGATCAATGATTAAAAATAGCTTCAATCGAATGAACCCTATAGTTTTTTAAAAAGTAAATCCTTCATCAGATCTCATTGACTGGAGCTACATATTCACAAAGAACTGCATCAAATATAACAGAAATCACATCATTTGAAGACTTTCTACAGCAGCAATAATTAAAATGGATAGCTCTCGAAGAGAAACTTATGACATAACCAAAATATAGATTTTCAACATTATTTAAACAAAAGAGAAATCGGCGAAACAAGTTCTATCCTAGTCTATTCCAGCAACTTCGCTTTATTGTTCTTGGGAATGGCATAGAACCAATTCTTCTTCGACAATCTATGGGTTAGCAAGACTGGGATCAAGAACTATGAATCTAATTTAAAACTCCGGGGAATACACACCGGAAAATCACGCCACTGAAAAATATTGTCGGACAACCTATGTATTTTGGTATCGATTTCTAGATGGTACCTAAACTTCATGAATTTAGGTGCAGTCCAAAACTGGCGTCGAGATCTCATCAGTTTACATTTTAGTTGACTAGATAGAGTCGTAAGTTCTATGCTAAGTTTCTTTTCTCGCACTTCTCGCTTGTGGAACTCCCTTCTGGCTCCATACTTTCCAGCCAACTTTAATCTGCAAAAATTTAAGTACAGTGTCAATCGCTATCTAGTGTCCTTCTGATTACGCTTTCCTCTTCCAGCACATTATTAATGTTTCTGGTCCTAATTCTTCCACACCCAGTAACCTGTCGTGTCTTAGTGGCTTTACTACCTGGCATGGGTTGGTATCGATTAATATATATATATATATATATATATATATATATATATATATATATATATATATATATATATATTTGACGGATGGATGGATTGATGAGTGTTAAGTTTATTGTTTTTACTGAACAATCTACACAAGTAAATTGTTTTTAAAGTGGTCAGATGCTTGTACCATGCAATGACCATATTCTCCTTCATAATACCATGTCTTGTACTATATATATATATATATATATATATATATAGGCAAACAGGAGCTTTTATTTTCCTCTTCCTGCACATTAATAATGTTTCTGTTCCTAATTCGTCCCTTTGCGTTTTAGTGTCGTTACTGTCTTGCCTGGGGTGATACTGATTTTAAAAAAGGTATTTCACGCCATTTTGTTAAATGCCCCTCGTCAGTCTTCTATTATGATGATAGAAATAGTAAAATTATACGCGAAATTTAAAACTTTTTTCTATCAATCCATTGTTTTCTATCTATCCATTGTTTTGCGTATTTAACCACCATACTTTTAAAGAGAATTTGTACCCGTAGCAGATTTCAGCCAGGATCGGTTGAACCGGTTCCGTCGAATGAACTCGCCGCCTCTGAACGAAAGCCGACCAAGCGTAGCAGAGGTCATATCCATTCGGGTGTGTAAATGCATAGTAAGAATTTCAGTGGGAATTTGGATTCACAAATGGTTTCCAGCATGTATAGTCACTTTTAGGGGAGTGCGATCAGGTTTGAATTCAGAGTTTCCTTCTCCTAGACTGGTTGCCAAGCAAAATTACAGGATCCTGTCTGTTCTGCTGTTTTACCCATAGCGGGGGGAGAAGAGGAAATGGTTTCATACCTTTCCCAAAGGGTATTAGGACGTAAGTGAATGTAAAAAAAAAGTTAATGAACTTGACTGGAATTCGAACATCGGTTCTCCGATTCCTGAACGCGAGTCGCTAACCATTACTCTACCGTGCTGCCGTCACGATGCTTTTAAAAAGTGGGGGTTTGTATTTCAAAGAGAAAAAACATTTCTGCGTCGTATCATATCCGTATCTTTCTTTTTTATTGTTTTGTTTCGATTTGACCAACTAAGATCACAACATCTTTAATCGTAGCCCTTCTATACACTATGCATGCAAAATAGATATTAACAGACTGAGAGAGAAAGGTTGAAATCTATGAAAATGGCGTAATGGTTATAGATACAGAAAATGGTATCTTTGAACTGTTTTCGAATTCGGATTGTGTTTGTTTATAATCACTAAGGAATAATGCTCTTCGAAATGGTAGGGTTTTAGAATCTACCAAAAATGACTTGATTATTGGATTTTCGATACTTACTTAATAAAGGCTGGAATTTTTAAAAAAAGACTTTCCATTTCAAATTACGGAGAGAGAGAGAGAGAGAGAGAGAGAGAGAGAGAGAGAGAGAGAGAGAGAGAGAGAGAGAGAGAAAACGAAGCGGTATACACAAATAACGAATGAACGAGATCCAGGGGGGAACTCGATACCCAAACAAGTGCTTGAGAGAAAGTGACGATCTGTGAAATAACGGGTTAGTTTAATGCAAAGTATGTCTATACATCCCTTCATTCGAGGGACGATTCTTCTTCTTCTATATATCCTGTTCCTTCAAGACGTGGGAAATCATGGCTCTCCACAACTTCTCTTCCTTTATAGCTCTTAGTAATGTTTGTTTTTGCCATCCCTCCCAGCCACACCCGTTTCGTTATATACCCACATAAGCTTGTCACGCAGGTGGCCTGCTGTCTCCCACTGTTCCTTTTACCTTCGATATGTCTTCTGTGTGTCAAATTCTCTGAGCCTTCCTTCCTCACTATGCATCCAAGACATTTCAGCGTGACTTTGTGATTATATGTTTTTTGTTCCCATTTAACTTGAGGCTGTGTGGAACCGGATATGACGATAAACTACATCCGGTAGCAAGGCCTCTGATCTGTAAGGTTTTGAGGTGCGTAGAATGACATCTTAATTGCTGTTGTTCCCAGGTCCAATCAGCCCTGGGATTGTAGCACCTGTTAGGGTCCCAGCTATGGGAAAATAGTTAAACCCCAAACTTTGGACAAAACAATATGAAAGAATGAATAAAATAAATCTTAACAGCAATACATTTTTGAAAAAGAAAATTTTATCAGCAATGCATTTTTGTAAAAGGAATTACTAATGCTACCAAGAAAATTCAATTTCGGCATTAAATGACCCATAAGGATGTTGATATGCCGCTAAACAAACAAATGTCAACTTCTGTGGATTATTTAATGTCGAAATGTAAATATTTTGTACGCAGTTTTAATTTTATTTTTGGATATAATAACGGTTTTAGTGATACAAGTCTTACTAATTAACCCATAGCTGGGGGGAGAAGAGGTGGATTCCTAACTTTCCCAAGGGTTTTTAAGCGTAAGTGAATATAACGAACCCATGTAGAATTGGAACTCGGCTCTTCGACTTCCTATTCGAAGTCATTATCCACTACACCGCCGCCAGATGCAAGCATACAGCACCTTGTATTCCTGAGTGGTCACCCATTTAAGTACTGACCAGGCTCGACGTTACTTAATTTCAATGATCGTACGATAGCTAGAAGTCTTGCAAAACATTGTTCGTTATGAGTTCTATTATTATAAGTGCGCCATATTTATGACCTTGTGCCAGATTATGCTTATTCGTAAAGTGTTCTTCGGTCAGCTGAGCTCTCAGACTATTGATAGTAATATTACACAATAATAATTTTCAAGAGCTATTTAATTTTTTTCACATACAAATTCAATGAAATTTTATTCTTATATGTGCTGTGTTCCTTCAGAGCGTGGTCGATTATGCATCCCCACCACTATTTACTATCCTTACTAGTCTTAATATATTCTGTGAGTGCCAATTTCGCCTAGCCTTCCTTCCTCATTATGTGTCCAAAAAATTTCAGATGTCTCTTTCGGATTCTGAGTAGAAATGTCCATTTTTTTCTTTCCATCATTGTCGTTTTTTTGCACATTGTAAAAACAAAAGATTTTAATTTTAAAAATTTGAATATTACGTTTTTTCTAAAAAAAAAAATACATTTTTATTTCGACAAAATAAAATTTAAAAAAAATACGTAATTTGTGTTTGTTGTTGTTTTACATGCAAACTTTCTTTTTTTTCAAAAGAGAACAAATGTTTTAACTTCTTAAATGTTAAGGTAATATTTGGTATTTAGTTTGATGTCTGACTTCCACAGAAGCTAAAAGAGACGGAGAATAATAAAAAAAGGTCGCTCTTAATTTTACTAGAAGCCTACAAGGTGGTCATCTGGAGACGCCCCCGCTCCAAAAGCTTAATGATCTAGTCTCGCAGTCCATTTCTGGTGACTTTGATTAGGTGCTCCATTTTTGTTGCCTTATACCAGAATAGGAACTGTTGTTAAGCTATTGAGAAAAATCCATTAAGTAAGAAGTCATGTTTTCGATTTCATAAGAGCGTGATTGGTTTTTAATTTCAATAAACAATAAAAAATATTTTAAAAACCTGCTGGCCAAGCAATTTCCCAAACAGCAGAAAATATAAATTGCACATGACTTTTACAATATTGTATACAGCAGAATTTGATTGTAGCAATAAAATATTATCAGGTAAACAAATTTATTTTCAAAATGCAGGATAGATTCATTAAAATACAACAAAAAACTGACAGGATACATGGCACAGTGGATAAAGGCGTTAGTTAGATCCAGTGACAGGAACCAAAGAGTGTGAGTTCAGTATCCAGTTAAGGTAGTGGAGAACGTGGTAATTAACAGGAGATAACTGACACCCATTAAACATGGCATGTGAAACTAGAACAGTTTACCCCAGTGAGCGAAATAAAGGGTTCAATTCGACATTCCAACCACCTGATGATGGTCGGAGCGTACAATGGCCAAAACGTTGTAATAAATATGGCGACAAAGATTACGACAACAGTTCGAATAATATAAATAGTGTACATAATACCTCATCTCAGAAATATAGACATATAGATATATATATATATATTTACAGTAAAAAATAAATTTACCTCAACAGGAGTACAGTCTATTTCAAACTGGTCTGAAACCAGCCGTCTTCATCTTTTAGTACATACATACACACACACACACACACACATATATATATATATAATAAAAACAGACGAAACGTTTTACACAAAAAGAATTTTCTACTTTGTCATTGGTTTTCCTAAAAATGTTCTGATATATAAAAATGTATATATCATTTTCTCATATATATATATATATATATATATATATATATATATATGAATAAAGATAAAAGGAAAACTTAGTCGTCGCGTTTCGTCCTCTGTGGGAATTTATCAAGGCAAATGCAGTGATATTTTTGATACAGGTATTTATATATAGAAGAGCAAAAATTTGACTAGTTTTTCAAAATTTGTAAATTAAAGAACGCTCATAAATATTCATCAGATTCGTCTGTATAATATGAGTTTAAAAAAAGATATAGAATCCCGATAAAGTTTTTAAGAAATTTCTAAAATTGACACACACACATTTGTTTCGTTTTGGGATCTGATGAAGCCTAAAAGGGCAAAACCCCTACTCAAATCTAGTGTCAATGAAGCGTTTTCCATTTGTCAAATTTATATATATATATATATATATATATATATATATATATATATATAATCGGAATCACCCCAAGTAAGGCGGTAATGCCACTAAAATACAAGGGCTTACAGGGGTGTGGAAGAATTAGAAACAGTAACATTAATGATAAGCAGAAAGAGGAGAGAGTAATCAGGTGGACAGTAGATTGTGAGAAGAAAAAATGTTAGCATAGAACTTGTGATTACATCTAGCCAGCTCAGCTGCAAATTAATGATCTCGACGGTAGTCTAGTACTGCTCTTAAATTCAAATAGTCTAAGTATCATTGCGAATAGCTCATCTGAACAATTACCAAGAAAGTATTTCTAAAAAAGTCATAGATAGGCAACGTTACGGCGTATATATATATATATATATATATATATATATATATATATATATATATATATATATATATATTATGAACTGTTACATTGAAACATGCAAGTTACCACGGCAAAAATGTATATTTGTTTCGACGTCTAAAGACATCTCAAGTGGTTAACTTTGGTGGTAATAATAATGGTTATTATCACCAATGTTAACCACCTGATGAGATGTCTAAATTAGACATCGAAACAAATATGCATTTTTTACCGTGGTAGCTTGCATATTCCAATTTAACAGTTTACAATAAATATATCTATTGCTCTACTCTTGTATTGAGCCCTTTTTTAAATTAATGTTATAAAAGTTTGAATTTATATTCTTTTCTTTCTTTTACATATATATATATATATATATATATATATATATTTTATATATATAAGTGTGTGTGTTTGTGTTTGTCATTTTCTCAGACAGTACTGTTTCGCTGTATCACAGCTCCTCAGTGCGACTAGACATCCGAATGACTGAAGGCAGGATCGAATCCCAACCGATTTGATGTCGACCTATCGAATTATGCCTTTTTATCAAGCAAAATGGTGGTAGAATTAATTTAATTTTCATTTAGATTCATTAATTGAAAATAATGAAAGATGTAATATTTTACAAGTACCTTAGATGTGAAATTTGCATTAAAATAAATGGAGACAGATAGTGTTAAATATGTCACTCATGGCGGTGTTTCCGAGTGCTAGCTCGGTTGAATTGAGAAGCTCAAAGGATTGTTTAAATTAACACACATGCAATTTATGAACAGGCAAAGACAGGGTTAACAATAGACATTATTTGATTGGTTGGACAATCGGAAAACGGTTCGTCCTAAAGTTTTTTTTTTGAAGAACATTTATTTGACGCAGAATTATTTTTTCGCCTGGTATAGAGGAAAGATCTAACGAAAATCTTGGTTATCAACCCCAACTGATCGCTGCAGGCTGAAACATCGTACTCATTGGGCTGGAAACAGGAAATTTTGATAGTACTTCACAACTTCCAAGCCGGTTTATAAACTTAGGAATAAATATATCACTTATTATAGAAAAATGTTATGCGGTCTCCTTACAGCCACATGACCAAAGATATTGCCAGAGATATTGCCAGAGAAATCCAGCCAGTCCAAACTAGCGAAGTCCAACATGATCATCACTATCAACAACTACGATTAATATGCTTAGCGTCTTCCTCGATAATGTTAAATCTTACTTATTATAAAACGCAGATTGTGTGTGTGTGTGTGTGTGTGTGTTTGTGTGTGTGTGTGTTTGTGTGTGTGTGTCTGTGTGTGTGTGTGTGTGTCTGTACGTTTATATATTGGATCGGATTTCCTACATTTTTCAACCGATTTTAACAAAACTTCACAGGAAAAATTACCTTGCGGTGGTTCTGACAGCGCCAAAATTGGAAAAACACAATTGTTTTTGCACGAAATCAATTTAAAAACACGATTCTGTCGCCAGAATGAAAGGGGGACAACTCATATCGAGTTATACTTATAAAAACCCAGGTTGTGTGTGT